CACAAATCACACGTCAATTACCACTAGCGACACGTGTAGAGATGGATATAAATAAGTCACTTTCCTAATGGAGTTTCAACAAGACTTGCGATATTTGCTAATCTTAGCTTTAAGATGAGTACGACAAGAAGAAAAGAAGCTCTTCCTTTGAATGGTGGGTACAGCTACTCGGTGGCACAAAGCCTATGTTATTACTTTTAAGTAACATCTGAGCCAAACACATGAAGATAAGATTCTTCAATAACTTTAAAAGGAAAAATAAACATAATTGTGACTATGAGTAGACGCAATTGGGCAAGGTCAAGATATATGAAGTTAATAAGTTTCAACTTGATACGATCTTATATAATATTTTTTTAAATTCAAATTTAGGATGAGTTTTATAAATGAGAGGAACATAGTTTCAGTTTAAATAAAAATTCTCAAATATTATCCAACTCAAATGATTACTATTATATATATGTGATGGTAATTGATGAGAATCCGAATGAATCTCATAAATATTATCTGATGTAACATTTTTTTCCTTCTAGAGTGTTAGTGACTCGATGTGTTGTGCAACAACTATTAATAATAACTTTTATGAATTCATGATCTGAATAAGGACTTAAACACCCAAGAAATAAGAGCGAAACATAAACAGTAAAGATAAAAAAATTTAAATTTTCGAAAAAATTACCTAAAAATCATTAATCTTAAAGATTAGATTTTGAGAATAATAAAAAAAATCAAAATTAATTTTAAGCACACCACATCAATATTGATATTCTATAGAAGGTTAGTTCATAGAGTCGCTGAACATAATGCCCAAGGCCCGGGCTTAGAGATATTTGATGAGAAAGGGAAAGAAAATCCTTATTAATGAAAACAAAATTACCCTGCTACCCTTAAGTCAAAGGATGAGAACTATAAAGTAACTATTGGTGGGAGTTTGGAATTTATTAGGCATGTAATAATAATGATTAGTTTTGGGATGGAAAGGGGGCAGGCAGCAAATTGGATGGACCACAAAACCAGAAATCACCAAAATATCACCACGTTCTTACCAACCCTTTTAAGGGACCATTCATTCCAACTTTTGGATTCATTATGAACCATCCATGGTGTCATATAAAGCTCGCTTCTTTCATCGGTACAAGCCTTTTTTTTTTTTTTTTTTGCTATTGCTAGAAAGATTCCAATGTGTTATGGACAAAGCAGAAGTTAGAATATAAACATTTTTATGGCATAATTCCAAGGTTGAAGGATGATGTGCAAATGGTAAAAATGGATTAAAGTTATACATATGGTAAGTAAAACTCATGTATATGCTAAAAAGGGCCTGTGATGTTGTGCAGGAAACTATTGGTTCGAAACGAAAGAAACTGATGCATGACTGGAATCCGAATACAAATCCAAGTGTATAATAGGAAATATGTAAAAAAAAGAGCCAAGATTATGTTACCCGTAAACTCCAAATGCCGGCAGAAAAGGAAGTTATTGGACCAGACAAAAGAGAAATCTTATAAACATAAGCTTCCAGAGTGTTTATTAACAGCAGCTAACTCGTAAAACTGATATTAAAAACTCTGATGAGGCACAAGTATTTACAAACCTGATCACTGGGTGTTGGAAGCAGAATTTACAAATGATGCACTTGGTAGTTATGCATCGAGTAATGTCCTCATGCAGTATGAGTAATATTAACAGCCCGCCTCAGTCTCTCGAGAATGCCAGTAGCTTTTCTTTTGGCTCTAGAAGTTCCAACTTGAGCAAGCTTGGATATCGTTCCATGGGTACTCTCTTCTTCCTTTAGTGCCTTCCACTTGGTTCGATCATTAAGACATACAGTGTGGAGGATTGCAATGCAATTTTCCTTGTTGCGTTCACAAGTGCTCTCCCTGATAATCCGAAGCAAGCATGGAACACCTCCAAGCTCCCCGATTTCCTCCATAGCCCTTTGATGGGTTGAAAGCATTGCAAGGATAGCCAATAACTCATCAACAAGAATACTGTCTATAATCTTTTTTAAAATAACACTTATCGCACCATCCCTTACGGCTCTTGCCTTATTCTCATGAATAATGCATAGGTTAAATATCGCAGAAGCAACATCTTTCATAGCTAATGGATGACCTTCATCGAGAAGGCCAATCAGAGGTTTCAAGGCACCCAATTTACCAATAAGTGCCTTGTTAGAATCAATAGCAGAGAGTGTGAAAAGCGCGGCAGCTGCATTGCTCCTTATTTCAATAGTTTCGGATTTCAGTGCTTCCATAAGAAGAGGAATAACTGCTGGAGTTTCAGCAACAAGCTTCTTATTGCTGTCATGGATTGAAAGGTTCAAGAGTGTTGTGATCACATCTTCCTGGAGGTCAGGGTGAACACCGCCTTCAGATTCACTACCAGAGATTGGGGTGAGTAGTTGAGGAATGGCATCAACAGATTCACCAAAAAGAGCACGGAATGAAGGCATCTTTTTTGTCAACATCCGAAGCTCCTTTGCTGCTTTCTTCTGTTCAGGAAGCGCAGCAGTCAACTTCTCGAGCAAAGAAAAGAAATGATCACGTTCCGCTTCAGTGACCCCCTCCTCTTTATCATTCATAACAGGGCTTGGCAGTTCTATCCCCTGACTCTTGCACCACTTCGATATCATATCCAAAATAAGATAGTTCGGAGTGAGAAGTGTGTGCGAAAGAACCTGTTGTGTCCGAGGGCAAGTCCTGTTGCCCGCATTCAGCCATTTCTGTATAAATGGTCTGTCATATGTCTACACATAAAAACTGAAACCAAATCAGGAATCAAGACACACAATGAGAGATAGTTAGCAGAAGCTACGCAAACTAGAATAACCAACCTAACGGGGGGACTCAAATCCATGGACATCAAATTAAAATATAACTACTAAAAACAATCATCTTAAAAGAATTTGCAATTTATCCATTAGATACCATTCAATCATCTCTTCACATAGCTGAGAAAGTATTATTAAGTATTGACACTGCACTTTGTAATCTTCAAGTTCAATTAATTACATCAAAATCAATCTTAAATGATGATAAATTTCTCACTGAAACATATATGCAGAAAAAGAAATTCATGGTAACCGATATGAATTGAGGAGAAACAGATATACAATTATAAAAATAAAATAAAATGAATTTCACCTCAATCGTCTAAAATTCAATTCCTTTCATTCATCAAATAACAATTCAATATTCTTCATAAATGAAAAGAATAGAAAGAAATAAAGCAGATTACCTGACCAGAAGCTAAAATGACAGGATCTCTCATAAGCTCTTTAGAAAGAGGACATTTAAACCCATCAGGACACGACACGGCTTCATGTAACTTCAAGGACGACGTGGTGGTAGTAGTAGCGGTGGCCGCCGTGGATTGTTTATCGAGCTTAAGATGTCTCAAGGCACAGAGAGTATCTTTAGCTTGATCGACGGTGTGGATGCTGTAATCCTCATCGTCGGCGATGGTCCTAACCAGCCTTTGCAATTCTTTCTTCAATTCCACCGCTCTGGCGCTAACCGTTGGATCAGAACTCAATAACCCCGTCTTCGCCATCCGATTCTCCCCGACGAAAAGAAAACAAAAAATATGAAAATCAGGAAGCGTTATGATAATAAAAAAAGAGGAAAGGCGACAATGAGAGGACTGGATTTCATTTTTTTTGAATTTATTCAGTTGAAAATGGGGTGACCGGAGAAGAAGCAACTCTCTTCTTAAAAAAATGTAGGAAAGCTGTCGCTTGATGAATTTCGGGCAATCTCACCCTTCCTGTTTTAATTTAAAGGACCATTGTTTTCAATCCAAGGCCAAGATTCCACCACGTCATTAAATACATCGCATAAAACACCGTAATAAAAATGAGAAAATCACTAGGGTTGAATTTTTTTAAAAAAAATTTAGACTGTTTAAAGGTTTTTTTTACCATTCTAATATCATTACAAAATAGTATCTATAGTAAGAGATAACCAAAACTAAGTTCAACTTTAAAAAAATTAAATTTTTAACTCAACTCGTAGTTCTATGAATTCGATAAGATTCGAAAAATATTCTAATAATGTTTGATTTATAAAATAGGATTAGAATAATTCGAAATTTTTAGTAATTAGTGAATTGATTTTTAAGTTCAAATTGAATCTCTTAGCCCTGCATGATATATGTATATCGCATATTAAAAATATATATGTATATGATATTTGGTTATAGAAAGTTATTTAAATTTAAATCAATTAATATCATAACATATAAATATTTACAATTAAATTTAAATAGAAACTCAAACAACTTGACTCGACTCTACTCGAATTTCATAAACTATACTAGACTCAAAAAAATCTAAATAAAGTTTGAGTTATAAAATAAGACTCATCATCTCTCCTCGATTCATCCCTGCATATTAGGTGTACAAAAAATTATTTACAAATTACTCTCCGACCTATCATTTTTTTTTTGTTTGTTAATCTCGCTCTTAAATTTCACAGCTCTCGTATAAAACTTTTGACTTGATTTTTAGTTATAATTAGATTAGATATAAAATAAACAACAATTATTTTAATTCGAATCTTATATCATTGACATTGCCATAAATTACCCTTTAATTACAGCAATTGGATTCTATTAGGTGGTAAGTAATGTCATGCATCACGGATTGCTATTAATATAGATTATAGATTAGTAATTAAAGTGTAATGATAGAACAAAAATTGTTTATTAATATCTTAATCTTGTTAGTAAACTTTGTACGCTTTGCTGACGGTGGTGTATAAAAAACAAACCAATCACAATATTAATTTACAAGATAATCTTTTGCTAAGTAGTATACATTTTTATTAAAGTGTAACTTATTATAAACTTCTGAATTTAATTATTACTATGAATGCTTTAACCAAATATTGATGTGAGTTTTTTTTTTATAAAAAAAGATAGAAATAGTTAATTTTATTAAAAATAGAAAAATATCCATATTAGAATGAAAATTTATAACTATAATTGTAAATTAAAACATATAATAAGAATATTTTATTATAATCATTAACCTAATAAATTAGTAACTTAAGATCACACAATGACCATGTAAAGAAAATGTTAAAAATCTAACCAAATAAACTCATAAAAGGTAGATACAAATAGATCTTATTGTATCAGCAAACAAACCATAAAAGGGGATCAAACTATTGAAAGATCACTGAAAAACCGAAAATAATAATCTAGGAAACTATCTACGAACGCGAGTCGTGTATCCAAATCCAATTAAAGGGTCCAAAATAGGGAAAATTAGCATGATAACAAATGAACACCATCTTGATTAGTCGTTGCGATGTCAATTCCAAACCTAAGAAAAGAAATAAACAAAAATAACGGCCAAACAACCTAAAACGTGTCATAAAGGTAGAGGAAAACATTCTATAAAGGTATAATTACTAAAAAAAATATACGAGATAATAAAATAAATAGTTAAAAATAATGACTACCGACGGTTGACGATCAACACTAAGACAAACTACTGAAGAAACAAAGATGTCATTTATTTGTTATTATAATAATTAATAATACATAATATCATAATATATATATATATATATATATATATGGGACACGTGTAGAATTATAAGTCGTCAAAAGTAATACATTACAAATAATATAATCAAATATTACAATGTATAATTAGGCTGAAAATTAAAATTTATCTTCATAAAGTCTATATAATGTGAGAGTTTAAACTAAACTAAAATTCAAAGAAACCCCAACACAGTATACATTAATAGATGAGACTACCTCAACCGTTGCTAGTAATATTGATATTTTATTTACATATATGGGTGAGTATATGAATAAATCGAGTTGAATCGAAAAAATTGAGTTAATCAAATTTATAAGTACTATTTTATTATTATTTATTTGATTTTTCCTAAAGGAGTTAAATCTAATCTAATATATTTATTTGAGTTTTTTTTTTAAATAATTATTTATTATGTTATGGTATTGATTAGTTTCATTTTAAACTGTTCTCTTTAACACATGCTATATAAATACATTTTTGATATTCTTTTCACATGTGCAAATAAAATTTGAAATGCTATTTAATAAATTAAATAACATCTAAAATTATATAATATACTTATAATATTATTTTTTAAAGAAGATATTTTGAAAAAAAAATATTGATTAAAGTACAAAGGAGTTAATGAATTGATAGAAATGAAGAATTTACAACGAGTTACTATCAAAATCTAATTGAATAAAATGTAAATTTGAGAGAATAAATAGAAAAAAAGAAGAAGAGAAATTGAAGTTAGATATGTATTTTATGATATTTGAAGAGCATTTGGTTCAAATTTAGTAAAAAAATCTTAAAACAAAAGAAAAATTATAGAAACAAAGAAATTAGAAATTAAATTATAAAACATATGCTTGAAAATTAAGGTATAACGATAATAAAAGTATTTAATTGGAAGGTAGATCCCAAAGTTGTAAAATTCTTTTTTTTACTTTAAATTCAAAGTTGGCATACCATCATATTTTTATTAGTATGGTGTTATAAAATATTATCTATTCAAAAAATTAATTATTTACATCTTAATTAAAGCCGCGTTTTTTTTTTCCATTCAAATACTGCAACCGCAGCGAACCTTGTTCTTGACCTAAAATGTCTACTAATGAACTAAACGAGGGCTACATCGTTATTGAATATAGCCCTCCAAATTTTTTGAAAAATAGAACATTGAAAATTGTAAACCTTTTATTTAAACCCTTCAAAATAAGTGGAAGTTTTTTTATTTAAAAAAATAACATATAATATTAACCCATTTTGTTTGAATCCGAGGATAAAGTAAATGAATTGGGAACGTGGCCTAAACCCATGGAAGAGGGTCTGCAAGTGTCTGATAAAGCTGATGACAGAATGGACACGTGCCATTCGTTGGGCAATGGGGCTGAAGGAACTATTGGCTGCTCTTCACAACACCAATTATTTATGGGATTTGCTTACTGACGGTAAGTTTTACATAGCAGCACTTTTAATATATAATTTAAAAACAATTATCAATTTTATTATTATAAAATAATAAAATCGATAAAAATTATTTAAAATATTATTATTTTTTATCTAAAATATCAATAAATTTTAATATTTTTAGTAAAATGTTTAACAATAATAAAATCGATAAAAAATAATAAAATTAATAGCGTTTTATCGATTTTATTAACAAAATCAAAAAAATACTCAATAATAACAAATTAATATAAATAATAATTTTTTTGATAATTTTTTACCAATTTTATTATTTAAATAATAATAAATATTTTTTAGCGGTATAAATATTAGTGACAGCCACGAGATTCTTAGTTCTATCCACGATATAAACATGGGAGGGTCCTTTATACTATTTCAAAATTTAAAAACTTTATATAATATTTTTATGAATTTGAATTATTATACTATATTTCATTTGAGAATATTTTTTCTCCAATTCCTATTTAATTTTATTATTAATAATTAACCTGATAGTTATAACAAAGCATAAATTATGTATTTATTCACCTACATATTCCTACAATTTCGTTTTTATCATTCAACTAACCTACATATTCCTACAATTATGTTTTGATCATTTAACTATTTTTTTAAATAATGTCTAACGTTAAACTTTGATTTTGTTTTGGTCATCAGCCATTAAAAAAATGTCACTTCATCATAAAAATATAAAAAAATTGTCACGTCAAACAGGACAAAACGTAATGTTAAGTTTGATATAAAAAAATAGTTGGATGATTAAAATAGAACGACATAAATATGTAAGAGACTAAAACCGTAGTTTACCTTATAGTAAAAGAAAAAAATAATTTTTAGTCTCTTACATTTATATATATTTATAAATTTGACCTTTGATATTTAAAAGTAAATAAAAAATATCTTTAATTAAACAATACAAATCTTTAACAATATATATATATACAGCTTTTTAAATATCAAATTGACAAACAATTTCATAAAAATACAAATATAAATATATAATTTAAAATTTAGTTTAAATGTTTATTCAATAAAATGAATATTTTAAGTGATCCTTAGAACTTTTAATATTTACAATTTAGTCTCTAAAGTAAAAGCCGAGGATTGTTTAAATGTATGACTGTTTGATTTAGTTTTGATTCAATACTGATTAAATATCAATCAATGAATGTGACATCTCCGATTTAATTTACGGGTAGATCGAGTTGAAGGTGTTAGTCATTGTGATTGATGAAGGGATGTCAATGCCTCCTATATTAACCTAGCTACAACAAATTAGATCATAGCTCTGCATTGAGCTAATTTTATAAATTCACTCGTCTTTAAAATTTTATAAGTTTGTCCCCTAATATAAAATCACACTTTCGTCCATTGGGTAGTGTTAATTTTAAGAATTTATAAAATGTCATTTCTGAACTTGAGAAAAAAATTAAGAAACCTTACGTAATAATAAAGTTCCTTTAAATAGGTTGTAGTTAAAGTAACAACGTCCATCCAGTATCCAACATCTTATAATTTGCTGAAAAGAGTTGATTAAGTTGATATCCTTTGAATATGAAGCAATAAATTTGTTGTCTCAATGAAAGAAGGGAATCCATGAATTGAATTTCGACTTAAAAGTGACAGCTTCGGAGTTTCGAGGGCGATTACTAGTATGTGAGAAGAACAAACGAAAGAGACACTCTCTTTAGTTGAGAATAGAAGAGTAAATTTAAAAAATTATCGAAGGATCCACTTGGTGTTTTAGGAATAGTTTAAGGACATATTAAATATTAACTCTTTTTGTTAACATAATATATCATTAATTTAACGGGAGTTGACGATGGAGTGACTAATTTATTATTTATCACTAAAATTAGTAATTCCAAATATTATTTTGAAACTTCAATTATAAAAACATTTGTGACTATTATTATAGTTTACCATAATTAAATACACTAAGTTAAAAAAAACTATTTGTTTAAGTTAAGTAAGTGGGAGAATCTTACGGAACGCTCTAAATTTTAAAGTCAAGCCCGAAGTTGGGTATATTAAAACTACTTAAATCAACTCTATAACTCATTCCGCAAAAGTATTTCTTCTTCTTTTAAGTATTTAAGGTTATATTTTTAAAAAAGTATTTATGGTTATATATATATATATGGTAATTATAAGGATAATATTTGATCATAGTTTTTTTAACTATTAATAACATACACCCTACAAACATAACTGCTCGAACTTAAGACTTCAAGAGAAAATAATATTCTTTTAATTATTGAATCCACACAATATGTTTTAATTAAGTGAAGTTAAAGATTCTCCATCGAGTTCTATATATGTACACTTGACTGATAATTCCATATTCTAGTTCTTATCACACCTAAAGTAGGAAATTTATTTATTTTTGAACAAAATTAAACTATGGAAAGTAAGATTCCATCAATAATCCAAAAAGGGTTTGATTCAACGTAATATTAGTTTTCTAACAAAATTAAACCCTAAACTTTATATAATCAAATTCCTTTTTAAAAATATTTTTTTAACATATTAATAACGCTCACACGCTTTAAACACACATCTGGTTAAACTTAAAATTTTTAAAAGTACTAATATACCCTTTTACCGAGAGACCGCTAAATGAATTCGACACTGTAATATTATAAGTTTAGATGATAACTACATTTTGCCGAAATAGGACCAATTCCTTTACCAGTCTAAACTCTAAACTAAAGTATAAAGGGGTTGGTTGCTTCATCTCTTTTTTTTCAAATGCTTGCTACATCTCAACTACAAAGTACAGCTTTTAATATAACATGAAAACAACTCTAAAAAGCATATGTTAGTTGCTGCCGGTTATCACGTCTAGTTTTTTAATTATATTTTTATGTAATCGAATTATATTTTAAAAAGTATTTATCAACAAACCCTATTAAAAATAATATAGGGGGGGGGGTCTAGAAACACTTTAGGCGGGGAGTATGGAATCGTCAAATCATGAGCATCTGTCGTCACTCGCATA